AGAGACACAGAGAGACAGAGACGGAGAGGGAGAGAAAGAGAGAGAGAATGCTACATGTGTATGCTTTCTCAGCATGATGAGGTTAAAAAATCATAAGTCAACTATCCTAGGTGAGGGACCATCTAAACTCTACCTCTTGATTTCCAAAAGTTTGGAGTACCAGGGATCAAACTCGGGGCCTTGCACTTGCCAGGCAGCCACTTAGACAGCTGAGCTAGCTCCCCAGACTAGTTTTAGGTTTCTGAGTAATCTCCATGCTGATTTCCATAGTGGTTGTACCAGTTTACACTCTCTTTTTCATTTTTTTTTTCTTTTTTTTTTTTTTTTTTGTGTTTAGGGAAGGGTCTACAGGGTGTTCAGGGTCTCACTACTAGATCGGACTTGTAGTGATGCGCCTGTTTATAGCCTCCCAAGAGCTGGGATTACAGGCGCATGTCACCACACCCAGCCTCAATCACCAGCTCAGCATGCCCCGGGGGTGGGGCCAGCATGGCAGGCCCAGGGATCGAAACCCCCTACCCCTCCTGCGCCTGCACACAGGCATTTTAATCCACTGAGCTCTTTAGCCAGCCCTTGCACTCTCTTTCACAAGTTTAGAAGGCTTCCCTTTCTCCCACAGCCTACTGGCCTTTGCCACTATTTGATTTCTTGGCGGTTGCCTTTCCTTCTGGAGGACAATGGAATCAAGTACAATGGAATCAAGAATCACAGTGTTGCTTTAATTTGCATTTCTCTGGTGGCTCACAAGGCATCTGTGGGAAAGTGGATGTGCCTTGTGTTAAGGGGAAGAAACCAGACCCACAGACTTAGCTCGCACATGGCTTCTCTCACAGGAGAAAGCTAAAATATAAATAAAAAGCAAAATAGAGCAAATAACAGGAAATAGGGGGTAGATCTTTCTAAACAGGAAGTGTGGAGAGATGGGAGGGAAGAGGAGGTGGTGAAGAAAGCGTTGAGAGGTGCTGCTTCTGTTCTTAATGAACTGTGTGGTAATGCCAGTAGCCAACTATGAGAACAAGAAAAGGGTGTTGGCTGTTAATGGGGAGAGGAGCAGACACAAAATGCCTACCTTGGAAAATGAGTAAATAAATGCATAAGGGAATAAAGGATTACAGTTCCGTGAGGACTTACTGAAAATGTATAGTAAGAAGTTTAAAGTGAGACCAGTCTGCCTGTGTATTAGTTAGTGCTCTATAACAAAATACATGAGGCAGGTAACTTATAAAGAAGAAAAGGCTCCTTTGGCTCATGGTTCTGAAGACCCAAGATCAGGTGAGCCTGTGTTTAGGTGCTTGACAAGTGCAGAGGTCAAAATGTGGACTGCAGGCCAGAGCACATGAGCCAGAGAGCAGGAGGAGGAAGAGATGGGATCCTATGGGCCCCTGCAAGGGCACATCCACAGTGAAGCAAGGACCAGCTGCAAAGGTCCCTCACCCTCAGAACCTCCCAATAGGCCACCCCAGGGACCAAAATTTTAGCACCTATGCCTTTGGGAGACTCTTTTAAACTGTGACAACATGTTTGGTCACTTTTCTCCAAGCCACCCAGGAGTGTAGGTGAGAAGGGAACTGAACATTTGCCAAGGGACTCTTGCAGGTAGCAAGGGTGCCGGGCAGCCCAAGAGGTTTGTGAGCTGATGTGGAATCTACGTTTCCTTCAGGATCTCTGCCCCTCCCTGTGCCCTACAAACCCAAGAAGCCCAGCAACGCACAGCACTCCAACCTAGATTTCCAAAATTCTGAGCTTTTAACTTTAAATAACACTGAAGCCTGCCACACCAGTCTAGCTTGGCTTCCCCCAGCAGCACTCTGCAGGGATGTCTGCAACCAGAGATGCCCTCTGGGAGTCCAGTGTATGCCCCCGCAATGGTCATGTCACCATTCCTCCTCTACGGGTGGCACCTGGAAGGACTTCGCTGCAGGGAAAGGTGGGACACCTCTGCTCAGAAAAGCCTGCATCCAAATTCAGTTACTCTCTGTCTTTCCAAAAGAGCGACAAATAATACAGACATGAAAATTAACTCCACGCTTGCATGATAAGCCTCCAACGGCTTTCACCAGAGCAAAAATATTTTCCCCCAAAAGAAACAATCAATTTTCTCCCACAATGTATGAAGACAGGGTGGTTTTTCTTTAATTTCCTATTCATTAAAATTACATACTTGTGTGCATTATGCATACATACACACTTATGCATACATGCAGCATGTATTATGCACACATTTATACCTGCGTGTGATTTATGTGCGTATGTGCTTGTACGTGCACATTCACTTCGAGCTGTGACACCCCTGCAAAACAAATAGCAGGCCTTGCAGTTCCATTTCCCAGAACTTCTATGGAAGATAGACGATGTGGGGAGGTCTCACCCTCGTGAGGCTGGGGTCACAGGGGACTTGATGCCCTTCCTTCCCCAGAATCAGAACAGGAGAACCCGATCAGTGAGGTTTAGGTCAAGGTGAATCTCTTGGCAGCCCTCAGTGTAGGTCCACCTTATACACCTTTATCTACCCTTTGAAATGGTGCTTCTACTTTTGGGGATCTTTGTTATCCGAAAACGTCCCACTTCCCAAAGTAAGTTTCAAGGCGCTCCTACCGCAAGAGGGTCACGGGGTGAGGCACACCAGTCCCCGGCGGCCCAGCTGCCCCTGCACACCCATGCACCCATGCACCCACGCCTGTCTCTGCTTCCTCGCGCAGGCCTACGGTGTCTTCAGCGAGGGGCTCCCGGCCTTCCGCGGCCTGCAGCGCCGCCTGCTCCTGCGCGGCCTGCGTCCGGGCGGCGTCTACACCGTGAGCTTGGAGGCCTGCACTGCGGCGGGCTGCGCACACTCGGCACCCCAGCGGCTGCGTGCAGGCCGGGGCGCCCCGGAGAACCAGCCGGCGCCCGTGGCGCATGTTCTGGGGCCCACGAGCGTGGAGCTGAGCTGGGCAGGGCCCGCGCGCCCCCGAGGAAGGATCGCGCGCTACGAGGTGGTCCGCAGATGCGCGCAGGCCGAGGAGAGCACAATCTTCGTAGACCGCGGCCTGGAAAGGAGCGCCATGGCCTACACCGACATGGGGCTGCGGCCCTGGACACCCTGCGAGTACAAAATCTGTGCCCGCAACTCCGAGGGCCGCACCTGCAGCGCGTGGACCGCGGTGCGGACCCCGCAGGCGGCCCCAGAAGGCCTCTCCCCGCCCAAGCTGGCCTGGGCCTCCGGGGACCCCGGCACCCTGAGCATTTCCTGGGCACCCCCGGAGCAGCCCCATGGGGTAGTCCAGTCCTACGGGCTGCAGAGGAACGGGGTGCGCTACCCCTTCAACTTTGACGCTGGGACCTTCAGCTACACGGACCGCGACCTGGTGCCCTTTGCTACCTACAGCTACGCCGTCCTGGCCTGCACTCTCGGGGGCTGTTCCAGCAGCACCGTCGTCCAGGTCACCACTCCTGAGGCAGCCCCGTCAGGGCTCAGCCCCCCCACCGTCTGGGCGGTCAGTGCCAGTCAGATCAATGCGTCATGGTCCCCACCATCCACTCCAAATGGGGAGATCACTCAGTATCTGCTGAGATATGACGGCAAGGAGCAGCCCGCTGGGCAGGGCCTGTCCCTGCTGGTGTCCCACCTGCAGCCTTACACTCAATACAACTTCTCCCTGGTCGCTTGCACCCGAGGGGGATGCACAGTCAGCGGGTCCAGTTCTGTCCAGACGAGGGAGGCGCCACCAGAGAACATGGGACCTCCAGTGTTGCAGGTGATGGGCTCAGAATCCATAGAAGTCACCTGGGAGCCCCCAAGAAACCCCAACGGCCAGATCCAAAGCTATGAGCTTAGGAGGGATGGAGCCCTGATCTATACTGGCCTGGAAACTCGTTTTCACGATTTCATGCTCTCCCCCGGTGTGCAGTATGGCTACAAGGTGACTGCCACCAACAGCCAAGGGGACACTTCGAGTCCTCTTGTCAAAGACCGAACCAGCCCCTCAGCACCCTCGGGGATGCGGCCTGCAAAACTGCATGCCAAGGGTCCTTGGGAGATGCTGGTGAGCTGGGACCCTCCCGTGAGGACCAACGGTGACATCGTCAACTACACCCTCTTCATCCGTGACCTGCTCCGAGGAGAAACGAGAATCACGCACGTGAACACGACCCACAGTTCTTTTGATGCTCGGTTGCTGGTGGTGGAGCAGCTGAAGCCATTTCACAGGTAGGTGGGCAAGCGGGGTGCTCTGAGAGGAAGCCACTGACCCTTCTGCTGTGGGAGTCCTGCTCAGGTCTAATAAGCCAATCGCCTGAGGTCCCCAGCCCCGACCATCGTAGTGGAGAAGATTCCTGCAGGTAGTGTTTGCAGTTGACCATCCTACCTAGAACTAGTGCAGAGATGAGGCCGCTTCCCTAACGCGGGTCGGGCCTGACGTCATCCAGACCTCACACGGTTCCCAGACCCCGGGAGTGCCACCTGCCCCAAGCCATGAACAGAACTCGCAGCCCTAAAGTAGGAAAAAATGCTGTCAGTGAGTAAGTGAGTGAGCGCATTACCAGCCAGACCCGGTCTGCACCAAAGCTTGTGCTGGGAATGGCCTTCCTTAGGAATCCAGCAGGAGGCTCCTCTGGACCGTTTCCGCTTTTCAGGCCTGCCTGGCCCTGAAGCGGTGGCTTCCAGACAGCACCCCTCGGCTCTCAGGCTGTGCCGCACGCTTTTCTCTGGCTTTTGCCTTGCGTGAAAGCGTGTTTCTCCCTCCACAAAGGAATCTTCCTGCAGCTTAATAATTTCTTGGCAGTTTTCCCTTTTACATTTTAAGTAACTTGAGTCCCCAGAGAGAAGAGTAATAAAGGACATTTTATGCCTAAAATTTAGTAAAATTAACATAACAACTTTAAAAAAATTAAAGGTTGAAAGTGTTGATTTCCACTCACCACAGATAAAATTGAGCCATCATTGTAATCTACTGATATGTAGATTAAATGCCTCTGTAATTATCTATCTCTGATCTATGGTGCTGGTTAAATGAAACATTCATGGTCTTACGCATCTATTCACCACAATTATTTAGGGTCATATTAAATATTAAAGAGTGATTAAAACTTCCTCAGGTATCCTCCACAGCTGATCCACATGCTCTGTGTTGGCTTTTATTTTACTCTAATTTGGGGTATTAAAAAGCCCACACTGACTGCAGAGCTATAGATTTTCTAGCAGCTTCTTTCTCTGACTTTACATGCAAGTTCCAAAAGTGCTATCACTTCCCCCCCCTCAAAAAAAAAAAAAAACAGCTGTTCTTCACAAAGATTTCTAGAGAAGGGTATGGTTTTCCAGCTGTGAGAGGGACACATTTTTTTAGACTGGACATAAAAAAGGTTTAGTTCGTCTAATGAGCCTACCAGAAAAATAGCAATGCCAGAGGAGCCTCTTCTGTAGCCCCTGTAATTAACGCTCTGATGCCCATGGTGTGCGACACATGAGGCTGCTAGCCTGTGACTTTTAGTGCATGTTCATAGTTATTGATGTTACACCTTAGTGTGTTCACTCTTGGGCACCCTAGCTGGTCAGTAGGAGGAAGGAGCCTGGGATGTTCCAGAAAGCAACCAACCCAGGGTTTACAAACTACCGCAAGTAATGCAGAAAGTAATGTTAAGGCGAAAAATCAGAACTGAGCTCACACTCCACCACATGGGGCTGTGGGTGTGTTCTTATCTGCCAGTCACCCCTCCCAGTAGAGAGGAGAAATAGGAATGAGGAGGGGAAGGGAGATGGAAGGGGGGGGGAGAAATCGCCAAGGGGAAGAGAAGAAGGTGACTAGCAGAACAGGAAGCATAAGCCACAGAGCAGCAACAGCAGTTCATCAGAGAGAAAAGGTGGAAGACGGATTTGGACAAGGCTGGACCCAAAGAAATCAAGGGAGACGGAAAGGGAGCTGGGTGTTGAGGGTAAACGAGGGGTGTCGTACAATCAATGGGCTAGCATGCACTGGTTTTTCCACCATAGGTAGGCACTTAACACTAACTACAGTCCCTGCTATGTAAATAGACCTTTTCAAATGGCAGAGATCAGTGCTGAGGCAAAGCATAATTGATTAGTTGAGTTTAAGGGGATGGGGATGAGGTGTCGCCGTGCCAGATAATCTAGCATGCAGTGGGGCTTACTTTGGCCCCAGAAAGTCTCTTGGTGGCACACGGAGACTTTTCAAGACCTCAGGTATCAGGTGGGGGATTTGTCCCCACTGAGACCTAAACTCCAAGCTGTCCCCTTCACAAGCTAGAAACATCTTCCAGCCCTGGCTGCCGTCAGGAAAAGCCCACAGCTGACTTCTCCACTGCTCTGTTAAATACTCTTGTGGAGCACTAGAATTTTTACCACCTCAGAAAGAATCTTGAAGGCGTATTTATTCCATGCAGCCTTCTTCTGGGAAAGAACTGTGCCTACTCCCTCCAAGCAGATGAAAATCTTCCCTTCCAGGAGGATTTGAAATGTTCAGAGTTTCCACGCAAATATGACTTCTTTATTCTTCAAAAGAGTTAAACGGGCCAGGGAGACAGCTCAGTGGAATAAGTGCTTCCCTGGCAAGCACAAGGACCTGGGTTCAATGCACAAGGACCTGAGTACAATCTCCGGATCCAAAAAAAAAAAAAAATTAACCAAGGCTGGGAGGTGTAGCTCAGTGGGAAAGCTCTCATTCAGCATGCATGAGGCCCTGGGTTCCATCCCCAGAACCAAAAGAACTTTGTGTGAAAATAAAAGTGAGCTGAGTGTGTGACAGCACATGCTGTCACCCAGCAGATGGAAAGGCTGAGGCAGGAGGACTGCAAACTAAAGTCCAGCCTAGGCAGCATAGCAACTTAAGGAGGCTCTATCTCAAAACAAGGAGGATAAAGAACTAGGGGCATAGCTCAGTGCAAAAGTCCTAGGTTCAATCCCCAATACCAGAAAACAATAATACATGTGGACTTACCTTCTTTTTTGAGAACACTTGGTCTTTGAAAGACATCTCCTACAGGTCTGTTGTGCTGACCATCTGCAATCTTGCCTCTCACCCTAAGGTACGAAGTGCGAATTCAAGCCTGCACGGCCCTGGGATGTGCGTCCAGTGACTGGTCCACCATCCAAACTCCAGAGATAGCTCCTCTGATGCAGCCTCCTCCTCACCTGGAGGTGGGGATGGCTCCAGGGGGCTTCCTGCCCACTGTTTCCCTTCTGTGGACAGGGCCGCTCCAGCCAAATGGGAAGATTTTATACTATGAATTGTACAAGAGACCAGCAGCATCTCAGTCTGGAAATTGCCATCCAGTGCTGACCTACAACGGGAGCTCAAACTCCTTCTTGGATTCTGAGCTGCTGCCTTTCACCAAGTATGAGTACCAGGTAGGAGCTGTGTACGTCCCGCTGCGCACACTGAGCTGCCACGCAGACAAAGATAGCTCGTGATTCACAAAGCCACTTAATAAACAGAGGCCAAGCCAGGGTGAAGGTAGGCTTTAAATGTTTTTAAGCAGCACACAAGGAAGGAAAGGCTGTATGTGTTCGCTGCCTTCATTTTCTTGATTTTTTATTCTTGTGATAGATGTGTGCTTTTTCTAGGTAAATAGGGGACATATTTGCCTTCTGCTCTAATGCAGTGGTTTCCAGCAGTAAGCGCCACTCTGGCAGCGCCGCTTTGGCTCTAGACACTCCTCAGCGGAAGATCCCTTTGCATGTAGCTCATTACTTGTAACTCAAAATGAAATCTGCCGATGCACATCTATAGCTAAGTATGATATAACTACATTTGCAAGCGAGTGGTAATAATGATCATAATAAAACTCCGTACCTCCCTAAAAAGCTGAACATGAAGATTTATATTCTGAAAACAATTTGAAATCCACAGAGAATTTTTCTTAGGCTTGTTTTGCCTTTGAAGCCCACAGTCACTGTTCTTGTGGCAGCAGCCCTACTTCCAGTGTCCCCACCTTCGTGCAGATGTGTTGAGAGGGTCAGCCAGCCGCTCCTGGCCAAGCAAGGAGCACACAGGCCACACTCAGCCCTTAGGCCCACCTTGGGTTTGACCTTCAGCAGAGCCACTGGGAAACACAAGAGGTAGAGGTGAGAAGTCCTGATGAAGTCCGGCCTGCCTCCATCTGCAAGGTGTTCTCCCTACATCCCCAAGCAGAACCCTACAGATCTTCCAGTTCTGTATCCTCCCAGTAAAGGCTCTTGTGCCTAAGCCAGGCTTCCTTCCTCTCGCCTGAAACCCAGTGAAGGTGGCTGCTGACCTAAGTGCTATGTGCTGGGCACAGCATCAGGAGAAGTTTTCTGAAAGAAAAAAAAACAGACCCTTGAAATTCTGATCCCAATGAGAAATAATAAAAGTGCTAAGGAATAGGGTGACGAAATTGATGAGCATAATGTGATTAGAAGTAAATTTTAAGCATGAGAAAAAGTATGTTTGAGGTCTATGATGTATGGGATCAGCTAGCCAGGGAAATTGGTGAGAAATGAAGACAGGCTCCTCGGTGGTTTGCAGAAATAGAGATAAATCCATAATTTCTTGTTTGCAATTCTAAATCTAAAAATCTCGTGAAAGCAAATTTTTCTTGGTGGGGGTACAATGCATGTGGTGGCAAATTGCAATCTGAATAGACTCGAAACTATCTATAGCGTTTATTTATTTCACGTAAATATGAATATTCATGCTTTGTTGCAGAAATAAAATAATGAATCAGGTCGTCTTGGAGATGTCACTAACTATACGGTAGATCCATTTTGTTACCTGTCTGAAATTTGAACAGCAAAAAAGTTTTAGAGCCCACCAGCCTCCAAGGATTGAGGACAAAGACTGTGTCTTATGTTACAAATGAACAAGGTACCTCCCGGTGCCCTGTCAGGAACAGAATACTGTTAGAAGGCATAGGACCTGGGTGGCCTTCCCTTGGTTCAATCTCATTATCTTTACTGAAAAGTGTCAGTTGCCCAGAGATCCCTCACTTCTCAATTATCTCACTTCCCTTAGGAATAAAGTTCTATCTTTTGAGAAAACGGGGCGGAGTTAGCATGAAGCCTTTGACCTGAGTGAGGCGAACCAAAACGACGCAGAGGCACCAAAGGCAAACCAGTGATTGCAGCTCCCTCGGGATTCACTGCCCGGTGCCATGGGGTTAAGTGTTGGTCACCTCCGCCTGAAAAGCCTCCTCTTAGTCTTCCAAGGAATGGTGAACTCGGAGTGTGTGTCTTGTTTCTAGTTAAATTTCTCGTCAGGAGCCAGGACGACCAAGGAGCCTACACTGCAGAGCGGAGGCGAGTTGCGAGCCTCCAGCCGAGCAGACTCCTTTGTGACCATCATTATGAGCCCTGTGTCACAATCTTCTCCGTGTTCATCATATCCAAATGAAAGTGCTATGTCTAATTTGGTTTTTGTACCACACTGATCTCAAATTTGCACTTATTAGCTAATCCTGGGTTGTTATAATATAAGAGTACAGAGCCGGAAAAAAATTCAAGCCTATCAGGCCCTGCACTCATAAAAAAAATGACATTTTGAAAAATAGAGATTTAAATGCTGACATAAGTGAACTAAAATATTGGACCTACTTAGCCCATATGAATGCTGAGCCTTTACAGACTGTACATTATTCTAGAAAATTCATTGAGGAAGTTATATACTAAAAGAATTTGTTTCTGTTCCACAAAGCCACACTTTGTCTTGGACATGAGTTTTGCCACTCTCAGACCTCCTGGAAGGTCACTTCCTCGGTCACTCACCCTTGAGAAAACGTGTAGACATCTTCTGTTTGCCTGACACCGGGCAGTGATGTGAATCTTCTGCTGAGGGTTGTATTTTTTAAGTAACTCATTGATTTGTCAGGAACAAAGGCAAAGGAGACATGTCCCAGAGTGTGGGACGATTGATCAAGAAGTGGCTGAGCTCTGTGGTTGAGTGGTGGTCGGCCACATGGTTTGCCCTGGGGGCGTCAGGGGTGGCTCGTGACCTCCACCCTGCCCCACCTTCTACCACCGTATTCACTGTGCCTTTGAGTTTGGGCATTGAAGGCAGAAGCCAGGATTCAGCTGTGTGGGGGGAACAGACTGCTTTCACCAGGCTAAGGTGAGTCACCCAGTCAGTCAGTAAGACGGACGCTTGTGGTGTGGACAAGGTCTACCGGGCTGCAGGGTCAGGACCTATCTGCAGGCATGGATGCTGAGAGAAAGGAGCCACTCATTCGTGCAGACCACAGAGGATGAGGATGAATAAATGTCACTCACCTCAGGACAGTTCATGCAGGACATGTAGACAGTTCATGCAGGACAGCTTGGTAGCCGGTTCTCTTAGGAGAGCCGCGCGATGCCACAGGTGCCTTTTCCCAGTAATACTTCAATGTGGAGCCATGTAGCGACAGCAGTTCTTAGGATTCCTGTACAGAAGGTTCACCAAGAGCTTGTTTGAGTGCCAATTCCCACATGGAGAGAAAGGGACTCCTGCAACCTATGTTCTTAACAAGTGGCTTGTGTCACTAGCAACTCACATTTATTGAGAAATCCTGGGAGTTATTAGGAGCTACCAGTCCTCTCCTGTCACTGTACCATGCTGTTGTTGACTTGACTAGTTCCATGGGAACTTCTGCACTTTGGCATACAGAGCAGTAAGCACCCACACGCTCTCAGGGGCACTGAAAAGTGCTGGTGCCACGTGGCTGGTTGGTGACTGAGGGGAAGCCCCCTGACTCCCTAGCATGAGGGCCTGGCTTGGGG